CTTTTGGCAAAGTAAAAAGACAAGAAAAACTTTTGCGTTCCCCCCAGGAAGGAACGATTGCCCATGGGGGAGGGGTCCTGGGGGAACAACACTTACGGGGACCGGGGGGCCAATGGTTCCGTTTCGTTTCCAAGTTGTTTTGTTGTTTCTTTCCCCCCCCCCCCCCGGGTTACAGGGGGTTTGGGTGGGTTTTCCCGTTGGGTATGGTTTTTCATCCAGCTCCCCCCCCCCCCCCCAAAACAAATTTTACCCCCCCCCCCCCCCCCCCCAACCGCATTCATGTTCACCAGACCCAACACCCCTTACCCTCCCTCCCTCCCCAACGCAGCAAGCAACGCCTGCGTCGGAGTTCCCTCATGATGGCGAGCGACCCGTACACCCTGGTGGTGGCCCTCGACGATGGGGGCCGCGCGGATGGGAATCTGTACCTCGACGACGAGGAGTCCTACGACTACCGCGACACGGAGGGGGGCGGCGGGAGGACGACGCGGCGTTTTTCGTTCGAGGGAGGCGTTCTCAAGGGGAGGGTCGTCGAGGGGAGCGGCACCTACAGCCCGGCCAACACGTGAGTTTTTTTTTGTGGTGGTGGTGGTGGTGGTGGTGGTGGTGGTGGTGGTGGTGGCCGCGGTGCGGTTGTTGCTGCTGTTGTAGTTGGTCTTGTTGGTAGTTGATGTTGCTGTCGTCATCGTCATGATCCAATGTTGTTGTTGTCTTCAGTCGTAGTCGTTGTCGTTGCTGTCTTCAGTTGTAGTCGTTGTCGTTGCTGTCTCTTTGCATGTCTTAATGTATGCATCAGAAGCATCGACCGCGGTTGCCGGCTGACGATCGACCAATCGAAGACGCCTGCCTTTGCTGTACAAGAGCCGTACCTCAGATGTGCGTGTGCCCGGCGGCCGTCGACCCGTGCTTTTTGTTTCTTCAGTTTCTTGTGTTTTTGATTTTTGTCGTTTCTTCATCCATGCTCCCCTCATAATGTCGAACTACGCTAATCGTCTTGTCGGATGGAATGTGGTGGTGGTTTGAAAGCCCATGCCTCCCGGCCGCCGTTGATCGCTGGGGAGCCAATCCGCTGCCCTGGCTGATTTCCCTCGTTGTTGTCTAGTAGGTGTAGCTGCTAGCTTTGTCCGCAGCTTCAGGTCTTGTGCGTTTTCTTTGTTTGTGGCGGTTGGGCTGTTTCGACTATAAAGAGAACAAGACCACACTTTTTTGTATGTATAAGCATTAAGCTTCTTCCTGTCTTGTGTATTGAAAAGTCAATGCGGTGTTTGTTTGCGTGGCACCAAACTCCTCTTCCTCGCTGTCGTGTGTATTTGCAAGACTGACACACAAAGCACAATCCGTGTTGGTGTGCATAGCATCAATCTTCGACTATTTACTCATATCTTCCACAATCCGTGTTTGTATGCACCGTACATGTATCAATCCTCGACACTCGCATCTTCTTTGGGATTTGCGTTTTTTTTTATTTCAACGAGCAGGATCGAGCGCGTGGTGATCGTGGGCGTGAACGCCGCGCCTTCGTCGGTTACCCTTCACATGGCCGCCGCGGCGGGAACAGCATCGTCGCTCGATTTCACGTACGACGCCCTCACCCGCGTTGTTACCGTACGCAAGCCCGATGTGTGCGTGGTAGACGACTTCGACCTCACGCTGAGCTTCGCGGCCGGGTCGACCAGCTAATAGCCGGCACTTTTCTCTGCCATGCTGCTGCTGGTGCTGCTGCTGTGATCTTGGCCGCTGACATCCCTACTACTTGATAGGGATTACAGAGTGGCCAATGTCGACCGTAAAAAGCTGCTGCTGCTTTGTCAGGTCTATATCGTGGTTGATCGACTGCTTGGCAGTGTTTCCTGTCTCTCGGTTGCTTCGTCTTAAATCTATGTTTCTTTGTTTTTTGTTTTTGTTTCTTTATTCTTTATTGTTTGTCCGTGTGTTTGGGGTGTACTTTGTGGCGCGTCCTCGCTAGCGCGAACGGTCATGTAGAACGACGGCAACCGTTGTCTTAACGGGCGTGTTTCTTGACGACAATCGGCGTTGGCCAATTATTCTGTCACCACGCATGTGGGTCTGTTGTTGTGCTTTTTTTTTTTTTTTTGTCATGTGGACCTTGCTTTTGGTGTGCTTCTGCAGGACGGAGCTCTGACCTTTGACGAAGGGCGTTGCGCAAGAAGGCGGTGTTGGGGTGGGTAGAGGTTGGGACGGCGTTTGCAGCCAAACACAAACAGCATGACGACGTGGAAAAAAAAAACCGGACAGAAAGACGTTGAAAGTTCGGCGAGATTGTGTGAGCGTGCGTGTTTTCTGTGCCTTTAGTCTTGCTCTGCTTTTTGCGGCTTTCTTGCGGGCAGTAGTTTTCATTTTCGTGCATGGATTATCCACGGATATCGGGGTAAACTTAGGAGAACCAACGCGGGAGTGGGCGAGATGAAGAAGAAGAGATAACAATCTCGTGGAAGGTGTGTGACGCAGGTTTCAAGCTTGTCTACAATACGGAAACCAATATTCCGTTGAGTACCTTGAGTTGAATTTTGTCCACAGAAAGGAAGTTCCTGAAATATCCCGTGCACTCCTTCGTTTCTTCTCGGGGTATCGCCCTGTTGTCGTTGTGGTTGCCTCATGTAGTGTTGGCGTGTGCTCGAAAAAAGCAACACGGGAACGCTCTCATCGAGAATAAATGCGTTTTTGCCCGGAACGGAAGTGAGGACCCTATGGAACGTTCGGTGTGGATGGGTGGATGGGTGGCATTGTCTACGACAGTTTCTTTATGTGGTGGGCAAGTCGACGCGGGGCGGGTTTCTCTTTGCCACGTTGCGCTGCTCGTGTCGCGCCGCCGTTCGACATGGCGACACTGGAACCTCTACCTGATGCTGTTGTGGTTGGGTTCCATTTCAGTTGAGTTTTGGCTTCTCCACGAAGGAGGAGTTGCAACGGCAACAATATTCATTCGCTCTCGACGCTTGTCAGACGGACGTCGCTCTGAAATAGTTGAGGCCGTTGTGACTTTGTGCCAAACGATGCGATTCGCTTCTGCTGCCGGCGAGGAGAAGTGTGCTTGTCAATGACTTCAACGAACCATCAAGTGCTGAGAGAGAAATGAATCACCTACGACCCGCAAAAAGCCGGCCAAATATCCGTCATACGTAGTGTTGCGCACCCTGACGTTCTTGTGTGTGTGTTTCGTCCACTTTTTCCCCTGGACCTTACCTTGACACGTCCCTGTACGCTTGGACACACCAGCTGGGGTGACACAGGAGGGAGGGGGAGGGCTACCAAGTAGGAGTGTCTTTTTATTTCTCTCTTTCGCCTTCTTTGATCTGCGCTGCTGACACAAGTTCCGCGCGCTCTCTACCTAGTAGTTATAGGCGTCGCATCTCAGTCCACAGATGAAACGTCCTCCTTCGATGGTTGCAGCAGCGAACCCCTCAACACCCTTTTGACACAACAAACAAAAGGCCGCCGCGCGTGCAAGGTCATAACACCTTTCTGCGCGACGAGCCCGAGCAAGCTTTGATTTGAAAGAATCGACGCAGCGAGAAACAGAACAGAGGTACATAGTCGCCCATCAACAGCTAGAGCCGGGCTTACCAGTCATCCATCTCTGAGTACATGGGAAAAAAACTTCGGCCGCCTCGAAAACACTGCCGAGATAGGGAGATATCACTGGATGAACTGGTCAAGGGAACGTGCACGCGCAGAAAAAAAGTTGCATGTTTGCCGCGTCGGCGAGCACTGTGTAGGGAGGTTGGATCTGCCACCGACACCTCGCAGTAACGCAAGCGACGTCGGAATGCCGTTCAACCGAGGGTGTGTTCTCAGCGGAGGCGCGCGACCCTCGGGCGCAGGTGGTGAGGCTGTAGACGTCGTTACGCCGTAACGGAGTTGGCCAGGAGTTCCTTAGATCTGCCGCACGGTCATGTGTAGCAATTGTTTGATTTTCGGTCCCAAGGAACAGAGAGCACGGAGAAGCAGGGTGAAAAATTGTGGGTTAGTCGCAAATATTTCCTGTGAATACGTATGTCTGTTCAGATACCAAGTGCCCGTTGGCAAAACATCTTGTTTTATCGAGACTATCGACGAAGAAGGCATTCGTTGTGGTGAAAAGTACCCGTAAGAAACCAAAGATTATATCTTTTCTCAGACGCCACCTCACATGCACGATCGAAACTCGTCCTTGGATATTCGCTTGTGTTTCGGCGCACCGACGCTCGGGTCGTCAATCCCCAGGGTCTTGAGCGCTGAACCCGGGGGTGGCAAAGGGGAAGATGAGAGACACAATTTTGAACAAACTACAGTAGGAACCTTCTGCAGGGAATGCTGCCGGTTGATTGAAAGAGACGGGGGCGGGGGCGGAAGTAAGCGGTTTCGAGCACCAGTTCAGTTGACGAAGAAACCAACGGGCGCGTTGTGGAATTAATTCCATCGGGCCCCCAGAAAGACGGCCTCTTGTCGCCTGGTATGAGGGCATGTTCCGTTTCCCCCTCCGCTTGTTCATCGTGTTTCCATCAATGACGTTCATCTCCGTGATATGTAGACACCGCAACGAGATTGCCAGGCAACGCGAGGCGCCACTCACCGTTCTCGTACTGCTCGTGGGAAATATGACCCCGGCCCGTGGGATCGAACAGTGAGAACATGGCATCGATATCCTCGTCCGTGAAGAATGTAGTCTGCGACATAAGACAATGATGCGGCGTGAGGGGATGAGGGAGGAGGGGTTGTCCCCATCGGCACACGATGAACTGGGAGCAACCCTGATGGCATTCTGTCGTCTTACTCTCTTGGATGGGTTGCTGCATAGACCTTGTACCTAACTCTACATGGTGACGATATCGAACTGTGTTAGGACGGTTCATCGGATAGTTTTCTTGATGGTAGACAATATTGCTAGTGCCGTTATTGTCTTCATATTGATATTGGTTCCGGTCTCTGGTCAGTACCTCCTAGTACCTGCACCGGTCCGACTTTGGGGTCACACTTCAGTACATCAACGCATTCTGGTGTACGTTCACTCGTCTTGGCGATCTGGCACACAAGCCGAGAAATGCCGGAAGCAGAAGTAAGTCTGTAGACTATCCCACTGAAAGGATGCGTACCGGCGTCCCTTGCCCCTGGGCGGATTTCAGAGTGCCGAGTACTTCCAGGAGGAACTTGTTGGGGTCCTTTGGCCGGTGGTACATCACTCTTGTGCCCAGTTCCTTAAGATCACAGCGTAAGAACACGAGAGTCCCGTATGCGGAGAAGTGCGACGGTTGATAAGCTAAGACGTTCGTATTTCCGTCGTTACCCCAGGCCATGGTTGAATCGTTGAACGGGCAGCATCCAGATACGAAGAAACCACTCAACTGCTGTCCTTGTAGTACTTTACTGAGTATCGCCGTTTCTTCGATTCAAACACAGATCGCCTACTTACTGCTACAAAGGTGTCTACCACACACCACGTCTTGCTCGACATGAGAATATGAATCCCTGCTTCGTCTACAGCAGTACTACACCTACATAGTCTACATGGCGCTGCACCTGGAAGAGCTTGTTGATATTATGTTCTTCGATGTATGCTTGGGCATCCTCGCGCGGGTCCAGCATTTTGAGCCCCCTACTCGCTGCTCTGTTCTCTCCCAAGTAGACTACAGCAGTAGACGTTGCTTAGATATTGTCCTCACACGCTGCGCGGCTGCCGCCAATTGCGCCGCATTTTGACGTTTCGTCAATTGCGCCGCTCCCTGTATGCACGCGCACAATAGAGAGTATCGTAGCATCATAGCCCTCTCCTCTCTCCCTTTGTGATACCCAGCCTTTATCACCCACCTTCTGCTTGTTCGAAGCGAGCCAAACATCCGGCAAGGAGGCATAAGAGGCAACCAGCTGTCCGTGAAGGTGTACTTGAAAGCACGTTCTGACTCGCTCATTCGCTGTTTCTCGCGAACGGCTCGCTCGTCGGCGGGAGTGTAACTAGGAGCGACCACTACAGGGCGAATACCATATAGCTGTAGTGCGCACCAGTCATCATGAGTGGCGTCTCAGTGTTACAGCACTTCGAGGCGTACCAGAAGGCGCGCGTGACGTTCGTTCAGGCCGTCGCCGAAGCCGCCACAAGACCGCAGAACATCGAGGTCATGCAGAACGCGGGAGTCATGCAGCTTCTCCGGCCCCTGCTCCTCGATAACGTGAGAGAGATCGAAGCGGTGCATTCGCTTGCACTGAACCAGAGCGTAAACAGTCTACGGCTTCCACTCACGAAGTCAAATTCGTGTGCTGTCTCGCGTTCGTGGTGTTTTACCGGCCTTGTTCTTTATGGCGAGGAGGCCCCCGCGAAGGGGAGATGTCGGAAAATGCAACTGCTACACATAGATTCACCTCGTCCAATTATACCGAGGCGACGCGGGCGGTTCCCTTGATTTGGTTGTCTTCACACTTTAATTTTTGTTCTGATCTCTATCGAATAGTTCCCTCTGGGATGCAGTCGGTGTTCGACACTGTACCACTGTTTGTAGTGGTTGGGAAAAGGGAGCATTGCCATTTTTCTACAGTGTATGGAGATTTCTTGTACAAGTACAACTACAAAAATATTGCGATCCACGGTTCTTTCAAAGGAAACTGCAGCAGTTTTTGGCATGCCTTTACAATCAACGACCATTGCTTCACGGTGGGTCCTACAGAAGTCCAGTCTGTCATGGTGCTCCTTAACCCCGTAGATTTGATTCGAATCTGTACATCGGCGGCATCAACTTTGCTCAAGCGACCAACATAGCCTTCAATCTTGCTTGATGTTCGGCGAGTATATGGTAGACGTTTTACAGTACAGTACACATGAGGTGACCCTCCCCCTTGTAACAGAAACGTATATCCAACCTTCGGCGACGGCGCGATCATTGGGCAGGTGCCTAGCATCCAGCAGTCGGCCGCCTTGGCGCTAGGCCGCCTGGCCAACTACAGCGACGACCTCGCCGAAGCGGTGGTCGGAAACGAGATACTCCCTCAACTGGTGTACTCTCTCTCGGAGCAGAACAGGTTCGACCGCTGCACGGCCTTTCATGCACAGAACGTGTTTCCCGTTCATGGCACTCTCCCTCCCCTCGTTCATTCAACCGTACGTAGGTTCCTCTCGATTGCACGGCCCGTTCTAAGACCAATATAATGGGGTAGTGTTGTCACCTGGGATGAGAGTCCCGAAGAGACGATCCTCTCTGTCCAAACTAGTGTATTGTAACGGTCTCGAAAGCGGTAACGTCGTTTGGCATCGAAGGGTTAGGTGTCTGATGAGCTATCGTACACATGCGGACGGCGAAAAAGCAAAATATTTTATGCCCTGCGGCGAAATTGTGGCCGGGTTTCGGTGACTCGGATGTATCGTTCTGGAGGAAAGGGGAACTTGCACAGCTACAAGCAGTCCAAACATGCCTTCGGCCTGTATTTACAGACGTATGACGTCGAGGTGCAAAGGGGCACCCTGACTTAGCTTTATTTTGATATTAGCCTCTAAAGCGAGAAAAAAATCGACCCCATGAACCAAGCCAAATACTAATCAACAGCGACATCGCTGAGCGCGTTCCATCTGCTGTTTGGGGATGTTCCATCGAGTGTATACGATTGGGGACGTCCGTAGCCCCGAAAAACCGTTCGCCTTGCTCTGTCCCAACCTCCCGCCCGTGTTGCGTGCGCGAGGAAGGTTTTACAAGAAGGCCGCGGCGTTCGTTCTCAGGGCGGTGGCAAAACACTCGCCTGATCTGGCGCAGGCTGTAGTGGATTCGGGGGCACTAGACGCCCTCGTCCCCTGCCTCGAGGTACATGTTTTGTCGCACCCTTACGCGTAGTAGTCTCCCCGTCCTTCTGGCTCGGGTTTTGTTGGAGACTTACGATCCAGGGTAACGCGGTAGAGAGTTGTACTTGCGGGGTGTTGCCTTCGTTTCACACCGAGAGCAGAAACAGGGACACTCGACTTCCTCAAAGGTATTGCTACAAAGTACTTGCGTCTAAGAGCCTCTCTTTGAACAAAGCGTTTCGCTGGATGCGGTGAAAAACCTCGCGCGCGCTGGAAGGCCCTGCTGCACGCCAGCAAAAACATGTGTTCTTCGAGATGTACGCAGATGTGCGTTCGAGTCTGTCAAGCGAGGGCTTTGCTCAAACAGGGTCAGGTGCACAATATTGTATCTATCGTTGGCGGTTCGCCTAACCGTCTTCACGCACACAAGGGATGTCAAAATAGCTTTTTTTGAGTGATGCATGTGCTCAAGGCTGCCTGGCGTGATCCCTCGAAGCGTGTGCGTGCAACCTCTTCACCAAGATCGTGTCCGAAACCTCAGCTCGCCTTTGACGTTCGTTGTTTGGTCTCGCCTGCGCGAATGACACCAGGAGTTCGACCCAACCGTCAAGGAGGCGGCGGCGTGGGCCATCGGCTACATTGCGCAGCACACGGCCGGTGAGTGAGGGAGTCGTATGCATACAAGCTCGAAGAGGGGGGAAACTCACCTTGGTATTCGTTGAACGGCTTGCTTTCAAGCGATACAGCAACATGTAGGAAGATGCTCAGGTTGAAAGTGTGGCCATGTGTGACGGTTCTGCATGCGTGGTGCTTTCGACCAGCGAATAGGCGCGCGCAAGAAGCATTCGCAATATTTCCCTGGTCCCCTGTCCAACCTCGGCGAGCACCAACTGCTCTCCCGAGCTCCTCGATTTGATGCTTTCACAAGAAGAATACCGTAAGGTTGCGAGTCAGCGCACAGGGGTGCGATCGATTTTCAAAGCGTAATTTCTCCACAACCAGAAGGGTGCGAGAGCCAACTGATACTTCTCAGGAAAGATCTCGATGAGATATTTCCAAAAACCCCCTTTCCGGCAGTGGTAACTTCCTGGTTGGGGAGAAATTGCGCTTAGAAAGTCTCTCGCACCCCTGTGCACTGACTCGCAACCTTAAGGTACTCTCGGCCTCTAACTCCAGCATCTCTGCTCATTGCGAACAAGTCGTTCCTCACCCGAGAATAAACACACACCTAGCGCGAATCATCTGCCACCCAGCACAGCTGACACGACCTCGGAGCCAACAGGCACGCGCATATTTCCCCACAACTCACACCCAACTGCCTACGCCCCGCTCCGCGTTCATTCTCGGTTGTGCTTCTCGTACCCGATCGTTGATTGCCACCGCATTGCGCGTACACGCGCATGGTCACGCTCGCACCCCGCGGGACCGGTCCATCAGACCTCGCCCAGAACGTTCTCGACGCGGGAACCGTTCCTCTGCTGGTGCTGTGCATCCAGGAGCCCGAGATCACCCTCAAGCGTATCTCCGCCTCTGCGATGAGCGACGTCTGCAAGCACACGCCGGAGCTGGCGCAGGCGGTGGTGGATGCCGGGGCCGTGGCGTACCTGTCCCCCCTCATCATGCACCCGGACTCCAAGCTGAAGCGCCAGGTTAGCTGATCGTTGATCGGGAGAGCAAGTGAGCGAGCGAGCGAGAGAGAGAGAGAGAGAGAGAGAGAGAGAGAGAGAGAGAGAGAGAGTGGAAGGGGGGGTGGGTTGTACTCGCGTTGCCACGCCTGACCGAAGTGGTGCACGCCGTAGACGCTGGCCACCTCCCGACAGACTCGGGGAACAATGAAATTGGCCAGGGCGAGAGGGTGCGCGTGCGTTTCGTGCACCCCCTTGCGTCTGTAGACCATTTGTGATTTGATGGATCTTGTCCCATTGCTGTAGTCATTCTTCGTCTCTGCTAGGTTGTCGTTCGACAAATTGTTGGCGTGGTGAAATATTTTTCCATTTCGACATTGTGGATTCCTTGAGTAAATGCAGGGGAGGAATGTAAGCTGAACGAAAATACCGAAGCGTTGGCTGCAACATCTGCTTGAAGCCTTTCCCAGAAGGATAGTTCTTTGGTGAGGGGGGAGGCTTTCCCCCTTTCTTAATGGCGGTCTTAACGGAATCATACGAAAACAACGAACAATTTTTTTCGCCAGAAGTGAAAGAACAATGACCATCTTCGAAACATACTGCACCAACCACGGGATGTGAGGCTGTGCAGACATAGCAAGAGTCTCGTCAAAGAGTCATCGTCAAAACATGTTCCAACAGCCAACCAACCAATCGACCGCAGGTGTGCTGCTGCCTGGGGCAAATCGCGAAGCACTCCGTAGATCTCGCAGAGGTGGTCGTCGAGGCCGAGGTCTTCCCCAACATCCTCAAGTGCCTCAGGGATTCCGACCTGTACGTGCGCAAGAACGCCGCCACCTGCATCCGCGAGATCGCCAAGCACACCCCCGAGGTACAATACGAACGTAACGCCAGAGAGTGAACTGGAACTCCTTCGGAAAGAGTCCCCCCACCGACGAATTCCGCCTTTTCGTTGTTGTTCTTCGTCTCTCCCTCTAGTTTCAAACCGGTTAGATGCTGAATGTCGAAGCAGAGAAGTTTACGATAGAGGCCAGGACTACACCGAACAGCCTGCCACGTTTGTTGACGCCTGAAAAGATAACCTCCACAGGACAACCACCAAGAGCCAGAAAGGACGGAAAACAGGCAGATATTTTTCTTTCACAGTGTGGCTGACATCCCTCACACTTCACCTCCGTCCCAAGAGCTACAACAGACGAAAAAGAGTTACATATTGCCCATCCAGTGTGACAGACATCCCTGGCACCACGCATGTCTCGGTGGGGTCGACCATGCTTGTCGTGAATGAATGCAGCTGGCGAAGCTTATCGTTAATTCGGGCGGAGCGGCGGCCCTGGTGGACTACGTCGCCGACGCACAGGCAAGCAAATGTAGCAGAAATGTGTGAATGGCGGATCGATCACCCGAAACCCCCTAGGAGTGTCAAGGCAGCCTGTTCGTAGAAACCCGGGTTTCGAGATGGAAATTACCGGCAGCAGGAAGAGATGGGGGGGGGCGGCGGTAGTGTTGAGCACCGTCCTTTCCTTCTCTGAGGCTGATGATCGCCCCCGTCAGGTGTGATGGTCCTTGGACGCCAACTCCGTGCCCTTCGAAAGAGGTGCTCAAACCAGTTGACTCGTTCAGGTTGGCCGAAATTTTTTCCCTCGACGGTATTTTTTTGCTTCTCGTCGTGCCACGATCACTCCAGAAACCAAAAGCCGCCGCACTCTCCTTCTCGCCTCAAGGACAGGCAGGCCCCGGCGACTAAACCCGTACCATTCGTTTTGTCCATTTCACGTGCACAACTCCGTGCCCTGGGAACGCCTGGACAACATAAAAACGCCCTGGAATCGGTGCTTTTCAGATGCTGGTATACAACTTAAGACGCCCTGGCATCGGTGTTTTTCAGCTGCTGGTTTGCAGGTCTTCGCCGCATAGGACAACGGAGTCAAACCCAGCCCACAGCCTAGAGATGTTTTCGGCACCTCCACCACCCTCAAAGTTCACGGTTTTGTTGTATCCCTCTTTGCATCTCTCTAGGGCAACGCCAAGCTGCCCGGCATCATGGCCGTGGGGTACATCGCGGCGTTCAGCGAGACCTTAGCGCTGGCCGTCATCGTGTCCAAGGGAGTTGCACCACTCAAAGACGTGAGTCCCTCACCCTCCCGTACGTTCATGCACGTTGACCCTTGGAAATAGACCTCGGGGTAGTAGGTAGGTTTTGAGGGAAACGATGAACCGTACATGGGTGTTAATAGAACTTACTTCATCTCACGTGGCGGCTTTCTTAAGACCGAGGCCGGCCTTGTTCGCCAACCTCGGGCCTCAGGGGGGCGCACCACGTCCCCTGAGGCCGTGAATCGCGGGTAAACTTCGAGGCGGCGACTCTATCGTGGGGCTCGGAGATGAGACAAAATGCCATGACATGTCGTACGCTGGTGACAACATGGGTGGCGTTCCCGCTCGAACGATTCTTGAGTTGGGGCACGTGTGTAGGTTATTGACATTCGCAAGTGGGATAGGCTCGAAACGCGAAAAATAACGGCAGTATCACGGCGAGAAATTCCCCACCCCCGTTGCCCCCTCCAAACATTAGTATATCCCCGTCGAACATGCACTGCCTGGCAATTCATGTTTCGTCTTGCTTGGTCCCCTAAACCCCCTGACAAGATGTTGTTGTTGCTGTTGTTGGTTTGTTGGCAAAAAATCTCGCCACTGCATTGTTTTTATCGTCGGCTCAACAGGCTCTAGTCGCCGAGCCCGAGGACCACATCAAGGCCGCTTCCGCGTGGTCGCTGGGGCAGATCGGGCGGCACACGCCAGACCATGCCCGCGCGTTGGCGGAGGGCGACGTCTTGAGACACCTACTGGTAAGACGTGTGTCCATGTGTACACGAAGAGATAAGAGAAAAGAACCGTAAGGCTGGAAGCAACGCAAACATCTGAAATAATCCGGCCCGCGACCATTTGCGCAAAAAGACAAGTAGAACAATGTTGGATACGGATATAGAGCACAGGTTCGGATGATGTTCGTGTAATGCATGCGGTAAGTGACTCCCTTCATGCCTATTCTTCTCCCTTCCGAGAGAGGTATCCCGATCTCTGGATATATGGTATGGTGCCGCAAGCATCGACGGTACCCGCGGTGTGGCTGGACATCCACAGGGCAAGCGACGCAAACCTTGAGCCGTAAAATATTTGTGTGGTAGATCGGCGTGACGGCATGAATAGGGATAGAGTGTGTGTGAAATGGAAAACACCCCGAAGTGAGGCATCGCGATACTCGCTCCATCCAGGTGGAGAACATTCTGTGACATCTACCGCAGGTTTGTCCGTCCCACTGACCCCTCCCCCCTCGTCCACGCTCGCTTTCCACGACAGCTTTGTTCTAAAGCAACCGGCGTGATGAGACTTCCTGGCCCGACCTGCGTCTTTTGCCTGCAGTTCTGTCTCGGCACTCCCCCTCCTATCCTACTCTACCTTACCACGCCCTTCCCTGCTCCATTTCACCCTGCCTAGTCCTGCGTAGTTCTACCACCTCGCTGTTTCTTGCCGTACGACTCCTGTAGGTCATCTTGTCTCAGTTCACCCTGCCCAAACATTGTTCCAACGCCAGTAGTTCCGAAAAGGGAGAGCCATGACTCGACTCAATCCCACATCAAAGCACGACGACGAAGGACATACTCGGGTCCCGTGCAACCGAACGAGACTCTAGGCGCATGCCATGATGCTATTCGTCGGTGCACTTTGTGGAGTAGTGTGTGACGAGTGGTTTCTCATCCGACACGCAAAAACAACAGTTAGTTTAGGAACTACCCTACTACGCCCGGTCTGGCTTCGTCCTAACTCACCTGACTCTGGTAAGGACTTGCTGTACCCCCACGTGCTACGCGTAGGCGTGCATGATCCACGACGACAGCAGCGACGACTTGAGGACGAAGAGCAAACGCGCCCTCAAGGCTATCCTCGCCAAGTGTACCCATCTCCAGGTAAACCCAATATATACATGTGGTTTAAGACATATGACATGCTCGCTGTCCCATGCGTGGTTTCAAAATATTGCACAACAACCTTTTCCTTCTCTGCGTGTTCTTTTGAGAGGGGGTGGGCTGTTTGTTTGGGTCACGCTCGCTTGCTGCGTTCTTTTAAAGCTATGACCTACCATGGATCAAGAGCACCAGTAACCCAGAAATACCTTAACTTGTTCTCTTCCCTTTTCGATATTGATTGCGCGCGCCTTCACTAGAATACTTCGCGAAGCACGCCTGAGGGTGCAAGGTGGAGAAATAGGTTTCGTTGTTGAACAAGTATAAGCAGTAGGTTTGGCTTTTCAGCAAGACAAGCGTCGCGTCACAGTAGTTACTAATGCGTTCGATGTCGGACCTCGATCTTGTACAGGCGCTGCAGCCCCTGCTGAGGGACAGCCCCGTGAAGGTGCAGAAGTACGTCCTCCGACAGTTCGCCCAGCTGCTGCCGCATGACGTGGAGGCGCGCAGGGCCTTCGTCCAGAACGGAGGCCTGCAGTTCCTTCAGGTGCGCGTTTCTTTTCCCGCCGGGCTCGTTTCGACGGATGCTTGTCGTCCAACAGCCCAGAATTTGGTCAGTGAACGAACACCACGCGTCTTCAGTGGCAGTATTTTCGAGAGTTCGAAGCTTCTTCTCCTGTCGTACGACTCTTGTCTTCTCTCGGTCCGTTTTTTCCTCTTCCTTTATTCCATCTCGGCATTTCATTTCATCAACAACATCAGCAGGCACGACGACGACAAAACACGACAGTAGTATCGATTGCGTCAGACTCGGCTGTTGCAGTTGTGCTTTGGAGTTATTTACGTGGAGCTCATCATGTTGGGCGCAGCCCATCGTCTGTGTTGTTGATTTTCCACGATCGAGAGAGAAACAGCCCCGACCACATACATACACTGATAATTTTCCTCTCGCGAAAAAATGTGGGCGAAGAACGTTGGTTGGACCCATCCATGCGCAGAAGGGAATGCCTCGTTCCCTGTAAGGCTCGAAGGACTCATCGCGGACGCCGCATGAGGTTCACGGAGAGACCCCAACTCCACTCCTATGTATCGAATAGTAAACGTTACGATTCTCGCCCCAGCCGTTGATCTGGACATTTTTCATGAATGATAAAAGAGATCTGATTATGTCGCGTAGAGTCCGTTTTTTTTTTCTTCTGCAAGCGCGCGCATCACGACGAAATGTCTTCCCTGCTTGGTCTTCTTGCCCCACAGGAATTGAACGAGACGGTGGGGGGGAAGCTGGAGGAGTACATCCATGCCATCAACGGGTGTTACCCCCCCGAAATCGTGGAGTACTACAGCCCCAACTACTCCAAGGTCCTCCTAGACAAAATCGACGAGTTCCAGCCGATGGTAGCATGATGTATCTGAAGTGAAATCCCACCCTTCATTGTTTACTCTCGCTCCACGTTGGCGCAGATCGTTTTCTTTGCAGTGTCTAGGACATCTCTTGCGGCATGTGTATAGACGGTGGTGTTATTCTTTGGGTGGTCTAAGCCCGCTGGCGGCTCTCGGCCCACGCTGCATTGAGGGGAGAGCAGAGGGAAGAGGTGGTGATGACGTCTACTTGTTGCACTCAGTATTGAATGTACACCGCCGATAGTCTACATACTATATACGCTAGACGTCGTTCTTCTGGTCTACCCGACGTTCACCTCGTTGTTTCGGTCTGGGTCCTTTCTAACATGTCTCTCATCGAATTTTGATTGTGTGCACGCTTTTGGGGTACCGTAGTCAGCCTGCGACCTCGGAACGGTGCGGACTAAGTTTAGACCGGCAGAGGGGATTGGAAGAACACAACAACAGTCTACAAAACATGACATATCGCTGGTCTAAGTTCCGTCCAACGACTCCAACAAACACCGACATACAGGAGCTCTCGGTGTTATCTCCCGGAGGTACCCTCCGCGTCCGTAAATCGCACGTACCCACATTTACCTCTCGTATCATACAGTACAGCAGAACTCCTGTGGTACGAAGTGGGGCCGTTTCAGGGAACCCGATATCCATGTACAAAACTCCGAGGCTCCAGGCGAAAAGTAACACGGGCTCAGTGGAGTTGGTGGAGGAGATGGGTTTGTTGTGTTCGTTTGTAAAATTATGTTGCCGTGGTGGCCCACGGCTACTCCCCAAATGGAACTGACTTTTCTTGTTGTTGTGTTTAGGAAATAATACGAACGTTAAGGGAGCACACTTATTTCCAGGTACGCCGTCACCAGGCAACGACTAGGGATTTGGTGAGAATGACACTGTGCTTCGATAGCAGCCATCTTTGTTGCTGGTAAGGCTGTTTTTTTACGCCTTTGCTTCAGCCCTCGTCTTTCCCGAAGAGTACGGCCAGCAACATCTTTCCATCCCCCCTCCTGGCCTTGAACGCTTGTCGTTGTTGAAATCTGGCTTCCCGAACAATTTTATCATGAGCGTACAGCAAAGGCTGCTGACGAACACGAATCGCTTCCGGAAGAAGCAGACAGCTTTCCACCCACAGTCTCGTTCCTGTGGGGCAAGAAGACCAAGCAGGAAAGGTTTTCGTCATGATGCGCGCGCTTGCAGAATAAAAAACACTCACGACTCTACGCGACATGATCAGATCGTCTCCGTCATTCATGAAAAATGTGTCGATCAACGAGTGGAGCGAGAATCGTAACGTTTACTGTTCGATATACACAAGAAGAGTGGAGTTGGTGGTCTCTCCATGCGGCGTCCGCGATGAGTCCTTCTAGCCTTATAGGGAGCGAGGCCTTAGGCGTACGACTGTTTTCGAAGAACTCACGTCGATTCGGGGCCAGGACACGCAGTTGCTGTGTACCCGTACCATGGTATTAGTTCAGACTTTCTCTCTTCGATTTGTCTAAACGACCTTATTGTAATCAATCGTTGTCTCTCTCGGGGGGAGGGAGGGGCGTACTTGCGTGGTAGTCCGCGGCGTTCGCGCTCCTCTTTCCAAGAAACGGCGACACCGGTAGGTCCAATACCTCTGGAGCCGCCTGGTGCTTTCGAAGCCTTCGCGAGCAGCCTGAAACTACGAGATATGGTACCTACGAATGTTTCACCACGTGCTGATGATTCACCTCCTCCGCTTCGTGTTTACCTGTCTCAGCCTTGGCCTGTAATTAACTGGGCATCACGCCTCAAGAAATTCTGCCCCTGCGTTGTTCTCCCACCTTCCCTCTTTCGACTTTTGATCGTGTGCAGGATTCAACGAACGGAAACGAGATTTGGCGATGGCAGGTGCGGCAAAGACGAAGAAAGTAACAATAAGAAGACGGGCCACGACCTGCCCCATGGTGCACATCATTTTTCTGCACGTGATGCTATCAGCAGGTGGAAAGCTATGTAGTTCCCGGGCGTTGAGACGAAGGAAGCATTCGGGGTGTCCGGCCTGTAGGTAAAACGATGCTTGAAAGCTGAGGATACGTGGAGATACATGCGTGGGGCGTTTGATTGTTTTCGGTTGATATCCTGCATGGTATGAAGGCTGGCGTGTACGGGCGAAGTGAAGATGAACTCATCAACGATGAGAGCCCGTTTTTTCTTTTCCACTGCGTGTGTAGGGTGGAACTAATGCCGAAGATACGGCAAAAAAGGCGGTAACAGTTGTCGAGGCGGGCCCATCGTTCTCGCCGGCAACACTAAGGGCGACTGGGCCATATCAAATCTCGGCGCTGTGGACTTCGCCGCGGTGTCATTGAGCCTTGACGGAGAGGAAATTTCACGCTTCCAGGTACCACACAAGAACACAGTTAGTGCCCGCGATTAAGAAACAAATGCTCCAATGTTTTGGTAATAAACACGAAAAACCGACTAATCATACAACGGCCTATGCTCGACGGTGGTGACGAAATATGTACTTGAGCCTCGACCCCAAATGGATGTTTCGGGCGTTAACTTTATGCGTATGCAACACTACTACCAAACCATTTCAGCCTATAGGCTATCCCTAACATGGCACGTGCTGAGCACTTCACCGAAAGGTTATTCCGACCGACCTGCTGCCTTCTGAACGTCGGGACCGTCATGCCGTAGGAAGCTTTCGCATGTTCGATGTGCCTGCCCTCCCTGCTTTCAAAGATCGTCCAGTCTGCACTTCGTTTGAAACGTTGTCGGGCATAGACGCTTGTTGTGTAGAGTGTGAAGTATCGCTACTCTGTGTTGTGCGGTTGTTTGCCCGAAAGAAAACGTGGCACTTCCAGAAAAGACAAGTGGTAGTATGGAAGCAATTTATATCCTACCTTCCTATTTTCTCAGGATGGCTCCTTCTACGGAGACATCTTCGAAGCTGTTGCATGGAGTTCGAACGACACGGTGTTTTTTGCCGGTTTTACGGGCGGAAGCTGGAACGGAACCAACCTTGGAAGCCAGGACTTCGTGGCTGCCAAGACGCTTGACGTGTTTTTGACTTCGCCGCCTGAAACTTCTGACGGCGAGTTGTTGTCGTCTCAAGCAACGTCGGTCTTGCTGGCGGTGCTGGCAATATTTGTTGCGGTTGTGGTCGTGGCATGTTTGGTGACAAGGAGGTCTGCCGCAAAGCGAAACGCCGATAACGCCTTAATTAAGGTCCCGCCAGCCCCGCTGTCGGTCAAAGCTGCCATGCCGAGAGGAACAGCCGCTCTCGCTTCCAAGGGCCACATATCGTCGGGCACGGCAGCATGCCGGAGGTGGACAATAGAGTTGTCAGTTCGCCACCTGTAGCCATCCCTGTTAGGGGGGGCAGTCTTGGCTACAGCCGTGCTACTCGAGCTCAGCGGGGCTTGCTTCAGGCAGGTATAGTTGGTGGTTCGCCACCTGTAGCCGTCCCTGACAACGGGGCCGGTCTTGGGTATCACCACACTGTAGGAGCACGGCGAAGTTTGCCTGAGACAGGTAGAGTTGGTGGATCGCCATCTGCAGTAGCCTCCCCTGCCAGCGGGGGCGATGTTGGACACAGCCACGCTATTCGAGCACAGCAAAGTTTGCCTGCGTCCGGTAGCGTTCGTGGTTCGCCTCCTATAGCGGTCCCTGTCGGTGGGGGCGGTGTTGGGGGCAGACCTCCTGTAGCTGTTCCTGTCGGTGGGGGCGGGGCTGGACACAGCCGTGCTGGTCAGACACTGAGCAGCAGAGTCTCACAAATCGATCGAAGAGATGCTGTAGTACCGCAAACAAGCAGCGCTGACGGCGATGACCCTGCGCAGGTGTGGACCGTGTCTGTCGAAGCCTTTTGGCTACGGCACCTAGGCCGTCGTTTTTTTCAATACTGTTTTTATTTTATTTTATGGAGGACCGGACGAAAAGCGGACAGGACTTCAAGGGCTTGTGTGTGTGGCAGTTTTTCTCGAGAATACCTGGACCGAGTACACATATTGTAAGGATGCCGGTCTTGGCGCGGATCGGCGTCTCCGCGCCGGGCGGACGGGGGCCTGAGGGAAAAAACGGGCCCCAAGTGATTAATTGACAACACCGAGGGGTAGTCCGCTTGGTAGAAGCCGCGATCGATACCTTCGGTGAGGTTGGGCGTACGTGCGTGGTATCTAGCACCTTGCGCCGGAAAACCGCTGTGCCACGGGATGGGGGCTCGTATGGTGCGCTCCACTGCAGCTGCACCTCCGTGGCATCGTTACGGTGCTGATGTGCAAAGTGACGTCGTTTTTTCCCTCCTAGAGCTTGCCCTGTTCAGTAGAGATCTACCACGGGGTTGTACGCCATCGCGGGGACGGCTACTTGTAGTCCTCTCGGAATACTGATACTAGCACACACCGGTCTGCGACTTAAGGCGACATAAAAACGTACCCACGCGTCTGTCTCCCCAGTGACAGTAGTCCTGGCGATGGTGGGAAAATATCGGCACCAGCAGGTCTACAGCGGACATGAGAGCCTGCAACCGCCGCCAAACTTGATACGACTACGATTCGCACGCCATCAGTGGATCGTACAACCCTTGTCGCCCTGTCTGCGCTCACTCAACCAAGTACTGCTTCGAGAAGTATGACGTTCGACAGTTTCTCTTGTATACTTCGCGAGGATGATCTCGTTTTCGGGGTGGGAACAATCTCGATCATTTGTCCTTGAGCAGAGGTTCGGCGAACCTTCCATCCTCAACCGCTCGAGGCCTGAAGGCAGCGGCACACCAGAAACAAAACAAGACAATCGAGGGCCTGACGATCGGAAGGAAGGAGCTGAATCATATTGTAGCCGTACATCCACTCAAAAACGACAAACCCCACAACAAAAAATTAAACGCTCGAAACACATTCCTATTGTAGGGTGTGTCCACAACAGGCACATGGCACCTTCCGGGCACCTTTTTTGTTCTAATAGCAAGACCAAGGTAGAGTCAAGTGCACCTGTAACGGATTGACCGTGGCAAGACGTGCCGTCTGGTGCTGCATGGCGCACACTATACGGAGAAAAAAACTTCGCCGTCCATCCGTAGTCCAGCCAAGCTCTCCTCTGCAGGTGAGTGGACCCACGTTGCGCACTAGAGTAGAATGCCACGACGCCATCCGTCTAAGACCGGCGGATACACTGTCGGAACACGATGTATCCGTTTCTTCTGGCCACCACGCACAATCCCTTCCCTTCGGGTGGGCCATTGCCCTACCTTAAGACCTACAAGACCGCCGAAAACACAAGAATCCAAAATCCCTGCTGTTCCTGTAAAAAAAGTAGTTACGACAAAATAGAGAGTTGTCTTCCAGGTACCCCGTCTCTATTTCTGTTTCTGAGGCTTGAGTGCAAACAGTGACTCCCACGCATCCCTTGTCCGGCGACCCCGTTGCCAAAGCAATACTGAGTAACTGCATTCTGCAGGGAGAGCTCCGCGGCCGAAAAAAAAAATACATGGCCTTCATTTCATCTCTTGGAAGGAAAAGTGCGCTGCCTGCCACAAATTTTACGCTCTATACGATGCAAATCTGGCCATCGTGCAGCCATATTCATAAAAAAAAGACGCCTGTGCCTCGATTTCGATCGACAGATCGTTTCTAGACGAGTGCCTAAATATGCAGCGCAGGCGGTTAAAGTCAACGTACACGTCTCCGCCAGGCGCAGTACGCTGACGACGGCTGTAGCTGCGGGGGGGGAGCCACCCCACAGCCAAGTGGTTGCTTATTCCCACACCGTCTTCCTGTCCATGTTCTTGATGACGTTGGCGATGGGGAGGCAGAAGTCCTCGCCCTTGGCCATGCACTCCGTGAAGCAGTCCACAAGGGGGATGAGGTCCCTCATGTTGTCCACCACCACCCGCGCGCCCCTCACGCGGAGCATCTTGGCGTGCTCGGTCTTCCTCTCCTGCCGTCGCCGTTTGGTCGTTGGTGGTGTGAGAGAACTTGTTTATTCAGGATTGAGCGCGTGGCTTGATTCAGCACGCTTAGCGCGCTTGCACTTTGGATGCGCAGGTGAGTGTGTGTGAATGTAACGAGCATCGGAAGGTGAAACGCGCCTTCACTTACCGAAACCGAAAAGGCCCGAAATGTGCCATTTTGTCAGCCAAGTTCATTTCGACGGCAAAGTCTAGACACACCGAGGATGCTGCCTGCCTGCGCAGTAACACAGACGCATTGAACCGGGTTTCAGCAGGTACCCCCGCTTCATGCAGAAGCGAGATTCACGTTTCGAGGAAAGCCTACCGTTGAAGAACACGAGAGCACGATACGCATTACTGCAAAGGATCGTGACCAAAGAGCGGCCAGGCCTCTCGCAAGCGGATAGTCACCGAACCAGCGGCCGGGAATATTTCTGTCCCCGTGTGTAGATTGCCTGCGAGTGTACTTACGTAGCACTTTCGCTGTTGTAGCTGGCGCCAACAAACTGCGATAACGACCAAAGGGTAAAATAAAAAAGCCTACATCGTGTGTTGGCGGAAATTGTTGGTAAAGGACAACGAAAAGCACGACCTCAACGCACTCGAGCACGGCATACTCTTTCACCTCCCATACCGATCCGCTTGTTCCGCCAAAAAAAAAGTGTGCGTCCCGCGCCGACTGCTTCATGAATCTACTGCCCCGCGGGGGGGCAAACAACTCACTTCGCTGATGTGGCTGGCACCCACGTAGCCGACGATCAGGCCCATCTCCGCCGCAAATGCCGAACCGACGCCGGACGCACTGTCTTCGACCGCGACGCAGATCGGGGGGATAACTCCCTCGTACTGGGCAGCCTGATACATACCCAGGAATCCGTGTCAAGGCGCAACGATAGGCGGCACAAAAGGGGCGGGGTTATGTTCGAGTTGTGGCGCGTACTGTCCCTCTGGCGATGGGGGGGGGGGGGGGGGGGGGTTATTT